AGTTGTCCGCTTTTTCAAATATGAAATTAAAATCTCCATCTGAAGCGCCAAGTGGTTTCTGTCACACCTTCAACTAAGCGATCATAAAAATTCAATGACTTCGTGATTAGAACAAATTATCGCACCTTTTTCAATATGCCTACTGATTTCTTCCCATATTTCGGCGCAAGAATTTTTCGCAGTATTAGGCATTCTCTAATTTTTGCATTAATAATCGTCATAGCATCTAGGCGATAATTGAGTTTCCATTCTCCAGAAGTGCTCTTATGCAGCAGTCACGCATCACACAAAGCGATGATATTCACATGGAATCCGCTTGCACGATTTTCACATTAGCGTGTAGAGCAATAAAAAAGATAAATACATTTTAGATGGAAAACGGTTCTAAAGACTAAATCATAGCTCAGTTGCAGCGACAGAAGTAATTAGAATGAGGAGCTTTTCTCCGTGAAAAAAATTTGCATGGAACATATCTAGCGGCTAGCCTTATACTCCAACATGCTGCGTATTTGCGTATGAGTTGTGAAAAACGCGAGATCTACGCGCATAAATGTTATCACCTCAAGTTTTTGAGTAGGTTAAGAATTATCGTTCTCTTACGTGGGTCATCGAATATTATCATCGGCAAAAACCTTGTTTACGCTAGTATCTACTGCTCGTAATAGGAATCGCTGGATTTTATTTTGACTTAAGCAGAGGCTCACGCATAAGCTTGACCGTAGCTAATTTCGGTGACTTGGAGAAAGACGCGAAAAAGGGGGATTGGTAGGGGGGAATGGTTAAAGTTGAATTTTATGGACTTCCCTAGGCACTTTTTGATTTGTTCTGAAAATATGAATTCTCAGTCTTTGCTGGAAGAGTGCAGACAAATTTTCAAGTCAGGCCTTTTACTTCTGACTACGTTTTTTTGTCCCCACAAAAAATTCTTGAGCGTGTTCAGACTGGCAACTTGCCAGTTTTACTCAGTGTTTTGATTGCTAGAGGTTCCTATATGTCAACAAAATCAGACTAAAAGCATTTGTGAGCATCCCATGTGTTCCTTGAATTCCATTTGATTGCGGCCCTTGAAAGTTGAAGCTCAAAACATCTATCAAACTGGAAAGGTCAAGAGAACACACAGGATGGAAATCCCCTAAATGACACCAGTTACTATTTCTAGAAAATTCCTTACCAGGAACCAAAATTCCTTACCAGCAGCGTGAATGAGATAATAGCACTTTTTTTGTTAGGAAACTGCTTTTGTTTGACGGAATTGTGCAGCGCCTAGACGCATAATCTATAGATGACTGCCTCGTACCCTTGACAAACTGGCTCAACCCAAAACAAAAACAAAAGCAACGTGAAATGCAATGAATTCCCTAGAGTTTACACCGGCGCAGCCTGGAAGGGTGCCATAGGAGACTTCTCTCATTAGATTGATGGAAAAAGTGGAGGGAGGGGTGGAAGGGGGGGGGGGGAGAGGGAGGAGGTAAAGTGTAGCGAAGACTTTTGGAAATGCAAGTTTTTGTGAGGGATCGTTGGAGGATAGGGAGCAAAAGGGGTGAGACAGAAAATTTAGGGATGTTAAGAAGGGTAGGAATTTTTACTTCTGCGTCCTATAAGGGGATATCAGGAGATATAAATATAGCCTATGTTTTAGATATTTTTAAAGAAAATATATATTTAAGGAATCATAGTGCCTATTCAAAAAAGGTGAACTTGCGGGAAGTCGCGCGGCTCCCGCAGCGACTCACCTGCAAATCTAGCATCTCTAGATTACTGGTTCACTAGTTGAAATGTCGAAGAACAAGCTGACCATAGTTTTGTCGACTAAAAATGATCTCTCTGGACTGCTAATATGCTTACACATTTATGGTTCCTCAAATTCTAATAAAATTCTTATGCGTCCCAATCTATCTCGAACGATAACACTTTTCGAAACCTCCAACAATTTTTTTCTCAACCACTCGTACATGATCAAGTTTTTCATGAATAATTTTCAAGTTGGTTCGATACTTATAGTCTTGCCATTCTAGTAAATGCCAGATACTTCCTTCTTCCGTTTCAATCACATGGGTAAGCCTATGAAGAATACAAAAGCTTGGTGCAAACTTTGATTATTACCCACAAAAGTTGAAAGTGTACTCATGTGACAATATCAGAGTTCGTTGCATTGTAGTCTTGCCATTGTTACGAATACGTAGTTCTTATAGCAGAGTTAAACATGAGGGAAAACGTATGAGCTTGTGGGGGGGGGATTTTTTACGAAGTCCCCTTTGATCCTCAACGATATCCCCTCTAAAATCCTAAAAAAACCCCCAAAAACGAAATGTTGACTAAAAAAAAGGTCGCCGTCGCCAATTTTGCGTATATCTTCGCCCACAAAAACGAAACCCCCCTTGCTTTTTGCCCCAAAAACGATATCCAGCTTGCCCCGTGCCAGCTGGTGCCAGGCCCTGATAATACAGTTTCAAAAAGTAATTCATTTGTTTTTGGAAGTTAAGGATTTTAACCGTAGAACTTTCATTTTCAACGACTTGACCATAGCTTTCTGTACCCTCTTCCAGTTTAATACGCTTTTCCAATATTCTACATAAAGCATCGCTGCTCTAGGTCTAATGGATACATGTGATGGAAATGTTTACTCCCTAGGGTTTCCGAAATTTTCGGCTTTAGCCATTCATCACCCCTCGATATGCCATAAATCATTTCCCTAGTTGCACTATCTAGTAACTACTGTTGCTTCTAGTTCTATATTTATGATCTTTTGCTGTCTCCCTGACTTCAAAAGAAAATTAGAAATCTCATTTTCTCCTAAAAGCACAAAATTATCTCCACTCTTGCTCCACTGCATCTCACTTCATTCGATAATTTGAGCGAATATATAAGCGGCTTTAATTGGAATGTATTTTTGATAATCACTATTCGTTCTCAGAGAGAATGAGAGTGCCAAAGCACTCTAACTGATAGAGTTTTAGAGAATAATCAAGATTCCATGTTTCGTATGGATTTCTTTTATCCCTTGCATTCTCTGACGTTTTCATGAAATACATGAAATACTGGCAATTTTTACTGCCTTACTTTGAAAGCGATATTAACCTACACATCGAATTATTCGTCTATTATGTAATGAAAGGTGCCTTAAAATATAAAAATTAAAGAAAAAACCACAGAGGATCCATGGCGCTGTATTCTACAAAAGGATCAAGTCATTCTCTATCTTTATAAGTAAAAATATTTTGTATATGGATGAGCGCTTGATAAGAGACTGAAAGTGAGGTGTCGCAATTTGAAAATTTCGACAAGAATTTGAGTGAGAATATTTTTTGCTTTGTATCCGAATTTTTCGTTTTTTTTCTGAAAGATTTGCTGGCTCAGCTCTTGCAAACGAAGAGTAGAAAAACCTGTACTTTGGACCTTGAGAAAATATATTTGCGGTAAGAAGTTGAGTAACAGTCGCGTAACACTCAATCATCTTATTATATGTAACCCGTAATATCAGTATAATTGAATTCTAGATTAGTCGCATTTGCTTTATGTGTACCTGACTAACTTTATTAGCCATACTTTCTAGATGCATAGCAATCTAATAAATATAAAAGGTTCGCGTAAATTTATTACATTTGTATTCCAAATGGAGTTCGCATGTTCTGCGCTGTTGACGTCGAGAGGACACATACTCGCCGTAGTAGTGCAATCTCCATGTGAACAACACAATTCGTAGAAATGTACCATGCGAGAGGGGCTATATTTTGCGAGTGCACGGGGGAGGGGGGGGGAGAAGCTACTTTTCAAATAAAGCTTACGATACTGCTGTTGTAAAACCAGAAGTTGATATACCATTTCAATCATTAAAAAATCCACTTTTGCCAAGGTGAGGAATGGGGAGAAGGTGCTGGGACCTAAGGAAGGGGGAAGGGCAAAAAAGAAAAATTATGTATAGAATTATGCGATCAACTTCCCGCCAAACCGCGACTCCTTTAACTTCAACAGAATATTTTAAGCGCTACATTATGGTGCTATTCAGGTTCGTATGCACCTATATGCGATTGTGAAGAGAACGAGAACAAAAGGGGAAGTACAAAGTAGAAAAGTAGAAAGTGGACAAAGACGGACTAGAGGGAAAGGGGGGAACGCGAATCTGACCCTGACGATGGTGAAAGGCCCACGTAACGTTATTTGAGATAACGAAGGAAGTGAGAATTTTGCCTTTTGTGGCTGTTTTTAGCTCTGCTTCTCACAACTACGAACGAAACTTTTCGCTCAGTTGTGCAAAAGTGTTCGTTTTGTCAACAACTTTGAAATTTTCTAATGTTAGGTTTTGTGCAAAAGAGCAGTGTGTCTGGTTGAGAAAGGCAACAAAAAAAGAAAATTTTTTGTTTACGAGCTTTTGAGCTACAAAATAGTCCTATAGTGCACCAAAATCTAGGAGAACACTGTCTTTCTTCCAACTTTGTATTCCTGTATTTGTTTCACTTCCTTGACCTAAGATGATCTAGCCAAAACTTCCCAAATATGGAGCTTCCTTGGAATGAGGTGTCACTTGCAGCCCCGTTTTTCGGCAGTCACAGAGTGCTTGCTAAATATCATACTGCTCGTATCTTTTCGATTTCCTCATGGAAGGAGTATAATAAATATTAATACTGATAAAAATGATAACAATGGATCAAAAATTATTGAATTTATGTACAACCCCTCTTATGCGGTTTAAGATCCGGGTTTACTAACTGGAAACTTTTGTTCGAACTCTAGAGATTTACACGTAATTTTTTTTCTACTCTCATTCACCTAGGCACTATATATTTGAAGTAATCTTGCCTTTTTTATCCTTCTCACTCAAATTTTTTTTAATCTCAATACTCCAAAGAGATGAGTGCGTATAAAAATTGGCAGTTTTGCATGTAAGCTTCTTTTTTTAATTCCGCAAAAAAATAGCAAACGAAAGTATAGAGAGAGAGAGAGAGGAAAAAACTCCTACATTTTGTTTCTGTTTATCATCATGTTAATCATCACTATTCCAGTACCAACCGACAAATCAAAAAAGCGTAGACGTTGGTGCACTGCCAACGTTTACCTCACAAACGCTAACAGTTCAACCCGATTGCGTGGATCCGTTCGAAGTACCTGAGGAGCAGAAATATGGGGAAATTCGAGCCCGACTGGAATACGACTTTTCCCAAAACAAGGTAAGGAATATATGTCTGCGATTTTTTTGTCGTAAAATAATGACGCTCAGCCCAGCCGTCGAGTCGTTTGCACGGGGGCTATTAGTTTGATTGTCAATTGTGACGAAGTGAGCACCATATGAGGCTGAACTCAGCGCGCAACTAGCACTTAGTGCTGATGTTAATGAGTTGCCAACAGAAAGTGTTGCCGGCGAGTATGGGTTGGCTGAGAGACGTGGGGGGGGGCAAAATAGACCCTTAAAAACTTTCTTCTATAAACGCGTCTCTGAAATGTATTATTTCGAAATTTAATTATTCAATGGTGCCTCCTACCTTTCTCTCGTTATGAGATTAGCAATGGGAAGGCTTTTGTTTCTATAACAGAAAAAAGTGGTTCTAATTTTCAGATTTCCAGAGTTCGAGAAAGGAAAATTTTTTTGGAGAGGTGGTTCTGTTTTTTTCCAATGTTTTGTTTTTCTTCCTGTTATGAGACGTTTTTTTGGTCTTTGATGCCAATGTCTTTACGAGAGATGATGAGTAGAACTAGGAAAAGGTTTTGCAATTAGTTTTCTGCCTGAATGGTAGGTTCGAGTGGGCAAAACATGTTGACTGTCTCCAGAGAAAGTTTGACCTACTACGTAATGAAATGAGCAACAAGTGACGGTTTAGCCTTGATGAGCTGAAAACTCCATATTGGGGCAAAAGCCAACTTCCGTTTTTGACCTTATTAAATGCAATGAGTTTTAAAAAGTATTTCTCACCTTGTTTGGAGTTGAAATTGAGTTTGGAAAAAAATAAAGACTGATCCTGATGTTGAGAAAACTCTATAAAATCAACCTATGAGAATATTTCTTATGTTTCCTCAAATCAATACTCCACATATTCATTTTCTTGTAAAACCCGAAAAAACTGTACTTATTATGGCTGTGTAGGAGTCTGTGCTACAAATTTTTCTTTTATTGTCAGTAGAGAAGGAGTTTCGTGTTTTCAAAGGCTTTGAGATCTCCAATTTGTGTTTTTCTAAAGGGAACTTTGATTTCCATTGTGTTCTTAGAGATATTTGTTTGAAATCGCGATAAAGATTTTTTTCATTATAAAAACTTGGCATAGTTGTAGCCTTAAATGGATTTTGTTATTTTATTTTACTATTTCATTGCTTACTTGAAGAACTTGAAATTACTAGGGATTTTTATATAAGCATTTTAGGCGTACAGTTTGGCAAAAAATAGACACGAAATTTTTTTTGAATCCTTAAAATCGCACACATTTTTCCTCTGAAATTTCTTATTTCGAGCTTACAAAATATTCAGTGGTGCACCTCACATTTCGTGATTTTTTTACTGGAATATTCATGAGAGAACGGCGACGATTTTATTGCGATACTTACGGAGCAGCTAAAAAGGAAAGGGGCTTTTTTTTAAATTCTGAACATATGAAATTTGTTGATTTAGCAGTCAGATAGTATATTCACAAGATTAGAACAAGCTGAATAAAGCTATCGTATTCCGAGGTTTTTACGACAAATACGTCGCGACGTAAAAATCTAGCGCGGATCCCAAGAGTTACCGTATCCTTTTGAATGTTACAGTATTCTTATGATTCATTTGCAGCTATCAGTTACAATCCTGGAAGCACATGGACTTCCGGCAATGGATCGTAATGGAATGTCGGATCCATACGTAAAATTATGTATTCTGCCGGAGCGGAAGCAAAAATACGAGACGAAAATTATTCGAAACTCGCTGAATCCCGTCTATAATGAGACATTCATGTTTACGGTGAGTTGTTTTTGCTAATCATACACTGGCGCGAATTCCAAATTCAGAGAATGTCTCACATCGTGAATGCATTCGTAAAAATACACACGCGCATTGAGATGTTCCTATAAACAAGTAGTAGCTTGAGTCATTTGCTATTCATGGAACAGCTCCTTGTGACTGAGCACTGACTTTTGGCTTCACTACCCCCCCCCCCCCCCCGTCTTCCACTCAACGCGGGGTCAATGGAAATTCCCCCCGTCTAATTCGATTTTGCAGCTTCCCTTCAATGAACTCCAGTCGAAGACGTTGATGTTGACCGTTTTTGACTATGATCGATTATCGAAGGATGACAAAATGGGTCAATTATCGATCCCCCTCGAATCGATCGATTTCGGCACAACGACGGATATTTGTCGTTATTTGTGCAAACCGGAGAATGACGACGATGTGAGTGCTTTCCGTAGTGATCAATAGAATTCTGATGAGCAGCCCGTGGCGTCGCGAAAAAAAAATGCCAGCGAGTCTTTTTAGGGGAGCGCTCAAAAAAAATGTGGGGACTGAAGTTTTGGTCATGAATAACAGTACCTATTTATTTATTTTTTCTATTTATTTATTTATTTACCTGCCTGTTTTCCTACCTGTAGGAAAACAAAGGACAGCTCATCTTCTAAGTTTTGTTATAAGAAAATATAGTGTAACCCGCAGTTACCCATAAACCTTTGTAAGACATTAAATAATTCTTGCAACCTTTTCAAAAATTTGCCGTAAATTATTTTTCCTTCACAGTGAATCTTTAGCTATCGTTCAATATAATATTCAACTTCAAGATTTGATTCTTCGAAGCGCACAAGTTTTGCCTTTTTCTTTTTTCTCAGAATCAATTTTTAGACGTTTTTTTCATTTGTGAACATTCCTAGAAATTAGGCCACTTTTTTTGCTCACTGCAAAAAGTCTGAATTTAGTTTTGCCTTTTATCATAGTACTATGGATTAAACTGGTTGTCATTTCTTGAAAATTCGATTTATTTTGAAACCCATCAGTCTTCATATTTTTTTCATAGATTTGGCGACAGCAATTTTTCACCCTAGAAAATGATGAAAAACTTGATTTTCGCAGCTCTCTTGCATATTCGTTTTGGAAAAATTTTCAGGTATGACTCAGAGGAAATAAGTTTTTGCTATGCACATATTATATTTTCAAAAGCACCTTCATCATTGTATCTATTTAGCTCAAGGCCGGATGGCACTTTGCCTGTACTTTTCGTTCAGGAAAGTGCCCATCCGGCCTGAAGATGAATGATTGCTGCATAAGGGTGAATAAATGTATTTGGTTGAGTAGGTTCACCTTTTAGTGAGCTAAGCCAGTCCGCAAGACAGGGTACACATGTTTCTATAAGGGTAATGTATTTTTTTTATAAGGGCAACATTCCGTACTCTATAATTCGGGAAAAAATCATCGAAATAACAGGTATCTCTCAGCAGGGAGCCTTATGCGGTAAATATTTTTTGAAAATAGTTCAGGGACATCCTAAATTCAAGCAGTGATAGTTGCAAGTTTGGAAGATGCAGAGTCGAGGGGTAAAGAAACCGTAATTTTTTTTTCAAAAATCAATATCATATTTCATTTTCTGTTTCCATGCTTTTACTTTTATTTTGATTTATTTTTTCGGTGCTTCTTTGTTCCTAGATAACCAAAAAATTATATCAATGAATAAGTAGCTTAGAATCACACACTTAGGCCTCCAAGACCCTTATTTTTGGTACCCTTAACTCGAAATCTTTCCAAACATAAAGCAATTTCGCTTTTCTCAAAATTTTTCCTGTTTCACTAAACCTATAAACTATCATCTCTGCACTTTCGGTTCCGATATCGCTCGGACGCAAGTATCGGTCTAATGCTAATTGCTTTGATTTCTGACCTAGGCGCAGAAATCGAGCAGTGTACTTGAGATTTATGAAATCTTCTTTCTGAGGAATTAAAAGAGGCTACTAGTCTGTCCATCTTCAGTATGCAGATTTAATGAATGCTTATCCAGCGACCAAATGCCGCATGACCTTTAGTCGATTATGTAAGAATATCTTCCGCTTATGACACACAAATGACATTATCAGGAAGATTGGAGTGGATAGGATAGGGGAGAAATATGTTTCTCAGTGTGGGAGCAATTCTTGTAATATTGATCTTTCCTCAAATTGGAGAAAAAGTTTGAAAATAAGCTTATGTTTGAATCTCTTCACTCACAAAGCCGTGATAATGCAACGGGAATCTGCTCTGTGCAGCAAATATCTTCAATTTGCTAACAAATTTATTCATCTTTACCAAACATTCGGATCCATATTAGTTCGTTTAAGCGAACTTTTCTGAAACTTGACACATCTTGACACATCTGCAGCACCTGTGCTGCACACGGTGCATCACTCGTGCCGCACGCGGTGCATCACTCGTGCTGCACACGGTGCATCACTCGTGCTGCACACGGTGCATCACTCGTGCTGCACACGGTGCATCACTCGTGCTGCACATGGTGCATCATCGGTTTTGCAACGCTTTTTATGTCCCAGATTTTCACTAATATTAATAAAGTACAAATATAGCTATAACACTTCCACACAGCTGAAGCCTTCTACCAAAGTCATTGGAATGTTTTTAAATGCTCGTTTTTTGATTACAAATACTTTTTTCAGCGTGATTCACGACTAGGAGATATTTGCTTCTCTACGCGGTATCGTCCAGCCACCGGTACTGTGACTCTCACTATCATGGAAGCGAGAAATTTGAAGAAAATGGATGTGGGCGGTTCATCGGGTAAGTTCTTATTTTCTAGAGGTTCTATTCATATATAATTTCTTCTTATACCAGAAAAATAAAAAGCTTTGGCAAGGTACCGCAGCCACGAAAAGATTAATAGAAAGTTAAAATAGCAGCCTTATTGTGTTCAACGTTTAAAGCTTAGTGATCTCTTTGTATGAACACTAGTCATTGAATATCATTCCGAGAAAATAGCATGAATTTGTTGTCTAATCTGGATCGTGATGTGATGTACAGAAATAGAATGTCCTGAGGATAATTCTGAAGGGTTTCCAAAATGCTTCTAACAGTAAGACCTAGGGGTCATATTGGAAATATAATGCAATAAATATGAATCTTAAAAATGAACTATAAGGTAACCCAACATTTAGTTGGCTAGAAATTGAGTCATTCAAGTTATACTTTGACCCGTCATAGTTCGCCGAAAAAAGCCGAAAAAGCCCGAAAGCGCCCGAAAGCGCCAGAAGAAGCCGAAACGCTCCTTCCGTTTTGAGGCAGGCATGTGTGTTGGTTTCACAACTGAGTCTTTTTGCTTCATTTTTTGTCGTCTGCATATCGATATAATGTCAGATTTCTACCGAAAGTTTGTTTCTGCGTTCCGCTCTTTTGGGCTTTTTAGGGCTTTTCGGGCTTTTTCAAGCTTTTTTGGGCTTTTCGGGCTTTTTTTTTAGCGCTTTTGGGCTTTTCTCGACGAAGTATGACGGGTCCTTGAGTGTTCTGATCAACAATAACCAAATCTATTTTGCCTGAACTATCAATTTTAGAGGTAGAGCAGCTGTTAATGACACATTTCGCCTAGAAACTCGATGACGCACACGATTCAATCATTTCTCACAATTAATGAACATTAGCTTGTTTTGCGTCACTTTTTCACACAAGTTATTGCCTACAAAATGTCCAAAGGCAATTGGATTTCCAATTTCTTGAAATTTAGTCCAAATGTCAAGCTACCTACGCTGTTCCGCTAAGTAGCTTTGGGGATATCACCAGATTGTTAGAGCAGAATCTGGCTTACAAATCTCAGAAACTATCTATGAAAAAGTGGCTAAGCTCTCTTACGAACGTAGTTTTGACGTAGATGCGCAGGGATATGCAAAGTTCTTTATTTTTTCTTTCATCTTGCAGCTCAGTTACACAATACTAAAATGCGTCAAACCTTTTTTAGTCTCTTCTAAATTTGGGTTTCTAGTCGAAAACTATCAACAAGCAGATTCTTCATTTTGTATCTTGACTTATGTGAGTGTTTACTGGATTAGAAAAATTAATGAAAGCTATGACTTAACAAGAGCCATGATCATTGTAATGAGGCTTCCATTCCTGTTCTGCATGAACACAAAAAACTCGTAATGATAATTGTCAGTAAAGCTAAAATAGAGTTTAGCCAAGAAATTTTTTTACAATATCTATCTTCAAAAAATTTGTTGTTTTCGAATGTTTGTTTTTGAGATGTCAAATGCAATGCAAATCTGCATTCCTCTGAAGCTTCCAGACAACTATTTTGCTTGTGGCCAATTCACAATTAGCGCATACCGCTTCGGCCAAAATGCTTCCGGAGCAAAACAAATAAAACTTGATGAGCGCAGCTGCTCGTAGAGGGGTTGAAAAAAGGCTCGAATATTTATTTATGCTGTACAAAAAAGCGCCAAAAATTCAAAAAAATCCAAAAGGATGCCAAGATCACAAAAATCATAGCATATCGAAAAAGGTCATAGTTTCCTTGCTGGAAGGACCAGGTCGTTCTCCTTTAGAAAGTGAGAATGCCTCTACCGAGTTCCTTTTCCCTTATCCGTCCGGACCAGTAGGGAGGAAAAATTTTAGGGCTTGGCTGACCAACTTAACCCGGGACGGATGAATCCGTTAGGGACCTTGGGCGAACAGGAAGGGGGATCTCTAGGCAAAGGGCTCACTGGTCGTTGATCTCCTAGAACGGCTTTTCCAAGCTGGATAACTCTCTGAGACTTGCAAATATGGACAAGAAGCTAAAATAGAGTCAATATGTCTGATTGTATTGAAATTTTTTGATTGAATATGTCTGATTTTGGGTAAAAAATAACCAGGAAATAAAAATATAAAAAATTGCATCGAGCTTTTTGTTTGTTTGAAATTTTGTATTTATTAAAGCAAACCACCATAAGCCTTACGCAAGGAAACTAGTTATGCTAAAATTTGCTGTACATTGTGGATTTTTTGGGGTTTTTAACTCACAAAAATTTATCCCGTCACCCAAATAAACCCCCCTCGCTCGCCGTTTTATCACACACGTTAGATGCTCAAGGAAAGAGAAACTGCCTGTTTTGAGAGAAATATAAAAAAGTGCAAAGTGCCCTCAACATCGCAATTACCCATTATTTCACCAACGTTGTCCCTTCATGACGTGACCTGTCCAAAACCCAGTTTTTCTCAATTTATGACGGCATAGACTTGAGCAAATGAGTGTGGGAGCAAAATTACCATGTTCGTTCTAAATTCTTCCGCATTTTCTCCATCACAAAGTGGTACTTTCTTTTTTTTTCGTCGCTCATTATGACATCATTTTGGTTGGGATATAACGAATGCAAAAGAATTTAACTTCGTGCTTTATTGTGTCCCACATCAATGTATTATCATTTTTAACTTTGAAGCACAACAGGACAGCTTTTTCTATCATTTGGTGGAAAGTCCTGACAATTTGCATGTGGGGGGGGGGGATTTTGCGTGAAAATCAGCGAGATTATTTGCTGCTAAAAAGCGCGGTAAGAAACAAAAGGAAGCTGATTTTACCGTAATCCTAATTTGATTTATATAGAATTCCTGAAGCTGTAATGTACCATCTTTATATTTTCAGATCCATATGTGAAAATATACTTATACCATGGTAGAAAGCTTCTCAGCAAGAAGAAAACGTCACGAAAATATCGTACTCTCAATCCGTACTACAACGAAAGCTTTCAATTTAAAATCGAGCCATCGATGATGGACGTAGGTTTTCAAGTGCTTTTCTGCTGAAGGAGATGTGCAGCAGTAAATTGAGCTAAATTTAGAAAGTTCATCTAATTATCTCCGTATGGGACTACGACAAGATGAGCAAAAATGACTTCATTGGGGAGGTATGTTAAGAGCAAAGAAGTTATTTTCTTTTTCTAATTTTCTTTTTTCAGGTAACTCTAGCCTCACAATCCCTCAATCTACCCCAAGTAGGAGTTTTTCTTAATTTGCTTAGAGGGCTGCGTTCAGAGTTGCGTCGTGGTGTCAGCGCCGTGCCGGAATCCATTTGGACGCGCCCCTTATTAATCGATCGACGTTCCGGCACGGCACCAGAACGGTGTTTTCGCGAGCAACCTTGGATGCAATCTAAATAGCTTCTTTCTACTAAAATTAATCATTCCAGGTGACCATAGCGTGTCACGAACAATGGGCAGAAATGTTGACTTCACGACGGCCTGTCGTCCAGTGGCACACACTGCAGGATCGTTGGGAAAAAGAAAAGGAGAAAGGAAAGTTTAAGGAATAACATTTTCCTGGAAGATGCGAACTTTAATAGTGGTGCACTTGAACATGTCGTGTTGTCAAGTAATTTATTGAAGAAAAATTACCAGGGTGGGTAAGGCGGGATTAAAACCAAAACATTTACTGAATTTCAATTTTGCATTTGCAAAATAACATGCTCACAATATTTTGATATCGCTCATTGAAACTGAGTTATTTGAAGATAAAAGCAAACGTAGTATAACAGTTATTTTTCTCTCCAAATATCTTTACAAAAACGCAAATTTCTACGCTCCTATTTGGCCTCCCATTATGAACCTGAATTTATGTGTTCCTGTTCTGTAACAAATGAGGAAATTATGCTATGGAAAAATTGTGGGGAAATTGAACATTTTTCACCCTTGTCCATCAAATCCATACTTATTTCTCTTGCGCTAAGGGAAAAATCTCATTTCCAGATGGGAACAGTTTCGAACCAAAAACGTAGTCGCTGGGGGAATCTAAAAAACGTTTGAAGTTTTGAGTATAAGTCAATTTCATTTATATTTTACAAAATAAGTCTTTCCTGTCAACTTGCACACATCATTTGATCTCTAATTCATGGCATTTTTAAGGTTTGAAAAAAATTTTCCTGCACCTGCACAGCACCACCACATCATGCCCCTCCCTGCACCTGCTCTAATCGAGGTTTCTTTACCATGCGTTTATGAAAAATTTGTCATCGAGAAAATAATAGGGAAGAAATATCTGTTCGTAGAATTAAGAGCATTGAATAGCAGAAAGGGGTAAAACTGCTTCGATGGCTTTCCTTGTGCTGTTAGAAGCTTTTTTATTGTGAAGGAAAAAACCAGAAGATAGGTCGAGAGGACTGTATAAAATAATTTCATAACTGTATCAAATGGCTTTTCGAATGCCAAATCTTCCCTTCTTATTGACATGAACTGTGATTTTCCTCTGAGAATATTGCTTACGACAAAACTTTTGTAAGCACATGGTGAAGGAGTATGATCCCTACTAGAACTTAGAATATGAGGTGCCTTCCGTATGTATCCATCAACATGTCGTCGAGTCATTTGCAACTTAGCGTATGAACCTACACACTACGCGCGGTAACTGACGACACCCTTACCAAAAATTCTTTGGACGTTTTGTAGCATAAGAAATCGTGAAGTGTATCAATACCAATACATATCCAATCAAAGTAGAAGAGACAAGAAAACAATAAGAATCCACTGGAAGCGTATATTCCAATCTTAGCCGTCAAGTAGCGCACACGCTGTGCAGTACGCATATTAAGTTACAGAAAACTCGACGATAGTTACTTTACTCATCTAGCAAAATCCCGTCTCTGGGAAATTTCTCCTCTGGGGTGTCCACAAAATGTCCATTGTATCATACAATTCTTCGCAGTTTTGTTTGCACTGCGAGATGGACTATCTCAAGCAAGTAATGTGATATCTTGCAAAGTTTGGGGCTTACCCTGTGGCACTAAAATAAAGCCAGGTTTAGAGTTAGAAGGAATTTTTTCTGAATTAGAAGAAAATGAGTGGTTGACATTGTTATGAGTACAATGGACACTTTCATCTACATAGGTAAGCAAAGAGTATCCGGTAAATAAGCTAGGGTAGATAGCTGTCAGCACGACATCATAATTTCGATACCTGTCATATTGGCTAAGTACAGTCTGTTCCAACCCGAAATACGCAAAACTTCACGTGGAGCGATGCGTCCGCATCGTTAGAGGCTTTACGAGCCTACATCGTTGGCATTTTGTCAAAGAGAGAATGAGAGACGCAGACATGGGTTCTTAACACGAAACGATGTACTGTAGTTACGATACGCTGCGAACTGTTGCGCAGCGGACGCGGGCGTTTCGCTTAAATTGGGTTGAAACTGATTGTAAAGTGAATAGACTATCGGTCTAAAAAATGTATGATTTACTGTGCATATGGTGTGTATTTCTATCGGCGGTTATTTTGAAACAAGTTTCAAAGGTTTCCATCCCTTATTTTTTTTCCAACCGCACCAGCTTACGCCAGATGAGCAGTTAATCCTATCCGGTCACAAAAAAATCCACTCTGGTCGATTGCTTACCAAAATCTATCACATTTCTTCCATTCACAACTGTGATATTCGCTATGTATGAAGGCCTCTTCCAATTTGATGATTGCCATACGAGTTTATAGAGCTGTGTAGAACAGAGTCTCATCTATGATAAATACCGAAATTTCTATTTTCCATGTATCCGATGCATTATGTACGTTTCGAGATATTGAACTTTGATTCATGTTTTCTTCTGCTATTGTTGTTTTTGCGAAATAAATTTTTTACAAAGCTGCTTACAGTACAGATTGCATGAAGTCAATGTGTCTGATGGATTTACGTTGGGCAATAAATCGTAACAAAAATGGTTACGAGCCGTAACTCATTCAGTGTGACTTGCATTAATCTAGAAAATGGTTATAATTCGTTTTTAATGCGATTGCTTCTGCTAATTTCGATTCAAAGAATCTCATAACATATTTGTGTCGCAGGTGTATTGCTCGTTTCTTTGGAATTTTTGCAGATACCTTCCCTTTACCGAAGTCAGGAACTCACAAGTTCTAAGTCAATGTCGGCTAGTAAAAACCAATGAGTCACGGCGTTAAAAATCAAAAAAAAAGAAAGAGATCAAAACACGCAAAACTCAGCCAACGTACTCCACAAAGTCAAGTGTGCGGAGCTTTTGTCATGAAGACAGTTACCTTTCCTAAGAGCAACATTATCAGGTTCAGCAAAGGTAGAAACTACAGGACTAGGACGGGGGTTTGATAGCTTGGAGTCACTCGAATTTTGAACCACCAAACCTCTGAGGAAAACCTGACCAAGATTGCATACCCCAGCATAACCTGGGAGTCTTACAAGCCTCTGTATGGGTTGTTGCACGAAAGTCTTTCTTACAAATTGCAGTTTACTGCTCTCTAAACAGGATTTAGTTGAGAACAATCCTCATGAAGGGCTGCAAAATTACGTTTTCAACTTGATTTGGTGTATGCGATGCGAAGTACCCGTATGAGGTAATATCACTAGGTTGTCCCATAAGTCTTTTCATATTCGAGCCTTCATATTGATATCTTTTGAGAACTAGGACACCTACAAGGCTGCAAATTTGTTACAGTAACTCTGAGTGAGTAGGCTATGTACATATTTTGCGGAGAACACAGAACTGAACAGGCAAAGTTTGAAAATTTACCCAATATTTCGGCTGTCTGATGGCTAAAAATCAATATTTTATCGTATTTTTAGCCATCAGAAAATGCAGCAAGTGCATATAGGAACATATGATAACATATGGAGGACGCATGAGCGAGTGGGAAGTCTGCAAAATTCTCTTGAACTGGGATAAGTATTCCCGTTTTTTCGAAAATTTGGAATTTTTTTCTATTTTGATTTGAAATGCGGTTCATGTTTGGTGCGAACTTCCGAGTGCCGTCTTGTAGAACTTGCTTTGATCTGTCGAATGGTACCTCGCATTCTATTAGGAATTTAGGAAGAACTGACTTATGTCGGTGAAAATTCAGATATGGAAAGACTAATGGGACAACCTAATAGGTCGGGTTTCGCTCTAAAATTACTGATTTCAAGATCTAATGGCCGCTATGGAAATCCTTATACTCTCGCATGTATGTGGTCCACATCTGTCGGTGGTAGGAGCCTAAAATGGGGCGGAGTTTGCTACTTTTGATTATCTCTTGTTCCTGTCATTTTAGCGAAAATTACATGCTTGTGCCTGTATGCATGTAAGCGTGTGTCCGCTATATATTTAAGAATGGGAGTGTCATAGCATTCACGGAAAGGAAGATCCGGGCAAATCCTATATTTCGAATTTTCGGTTTATTTTTATCGTTAATTATATCCTTTCTTAAAATTAATTTATGTAGGGCTTGTTTTTTTCTATCCAGCGATTGCTGCATGTCCCACTTGACATTCACATTGAAGCAAAACTTTGTCGAACTTCAGTGTCCGAGATTTTTTTCCATCCTTTGAATTTCAAGAGCTTAATTCATTAGGTTGAAGGCATAAGTCTTGTATCAGAATTTTTTGAAATTTCGGAGTTTCTTCCGATACTGTTCTATTTTATCCGGGGAATAAAACATGTTGAACGTAAGCACTTAAATTGCTCTTCGCAACATTTGTTCACCAAAAATGCTGAAAGACACAGAAACTTCTAATTCTACTTTTTATTCGGTTTTTATAATCTACGTTCTTTACTCAGATAAATTTATGCTGATAGGCGTCTCTACGAAAAGTTGTAACTTTCGAATAATTATTCTAGAGTTTTGTTTGTTTGGATGAAATCTTTAATGTACACGATAAAACGGTGCATAAATCATACAATGAAAAAAATGCTATACAGATTAAAACATTTTTGAACGTTTTTTGGATGCTTTGATGCAAGACTTATGTTCCAACCAAATAATTTTCAATGCTCCTGCACTCTTTCAGCAGATAGGTAAATCATTAAAGAACAGCAATTTTTGAGGCGCTTGGTCTACCGCTTCATTTGGATCCAAAACCATAAGTCCAAAAAGTTTCAAAACTGATCCAAATATCAAATCGTTTATCGCAAGACTCAGAGTGTCAAAGATATATCTTTTGAATACCTGAAAGTCTGGTGAGTTGAGCAGATACAAAAGCAAGGATTTGTAATACAGTAAAGAAGATTTCGAATATGCATGCAACTAACTCTTGTTTGATTTATAATTGCCAAAACAGTTTGAATTTGCGAGACTGATCTCGTAAGATGTTGCCATTATTGTCCCTTTCATTCGCAGTCACTTCGGACATTTATCCTCCACTTTACAAAATAGAACAATGGAGAGTTCATACAAAGCCATTCATAACTTCCTAAAAAAACGCGAAGATCACCTGAATTGGGTGACGTCACCGTAGCGTTGTGATTTCTCGCTTTAGAGTGGGTAAAATTTGAACCCTGGACCCATTCGATCCAGCTCGACGAGGCGCATCTTCTGATACCCGAAGGCGCTTATTTAGTCACGGTAGCGCACGGTGGGCAGCTAGATTTCGCGAACCCTTCCAGATTTTCGCTTACGTTAGGTCACCTAAGGTGCTTACTCACTGCACGCTGAGTAATCAGCAATATATGAGAATCGTATTCAGTCTAACTGGCGGCCTACCGTGCACACACCGTATCCAGCTAGATGCTTCTATATATCAAATGATGCGCCTCGTCGAGCTGAATCGACGGTGCCGTTGGATTCAGATCCCATCACTCGAAGACGAGATATGGCCACGCCACGATGATGTCACCTAATCTAGGCACCGTAACGTCTTTTTTGCAGAAAAATGAGCGCTATTGTACCTGTTCGAAAGCTCAGAGAAGAACCTCTAAAGTGATAATCGTAATGAAAAATGCAGTCATACGGGGATTTCTCCCAGAACAGAAGAAATGAACAAATGATAACAAAAGAACAAATGCAATGACCAAAATTGTATAATACGAACTCTTATTATACAGAGACAAAAGGTAAAAAGAGGCCTCTACTTGCAACTGATACTGGAGATGAAGGTTTCAAAATCATTACATGAGCACGCAAAGAAAAATGTACTTTTTGTTCCTTCGTACGAATAATATTTTGTTTTATAAGCATGGCGACATTAGCTACAAAACTAGAACAATATCTATCGCATATGTCGGAAATCTGTTGCTTATATAGGAGAGAAAAGATTTCAAAAACATATTTTGGCCATTTCGCTCACAATACCGAGGTGATCCGAGCGATATTCTCGGCGTGCACGAGTTTTCAAGTGGTTTAATATACGCTGGTTAAGATTGGTTTCTAAAGAAGCAGAATATTATATCAAACCAATTGTGAAGGTTTGGGATTCCACATGACACCGCAAAGTTTTTTCCTCTACCCTTGCTGCATGATAATGTGAAATTGTTAGTTTTGACATTAAAGTCCCCGAGGAATAAAAAAACACGAGATAAAGGCCCTATCAATTGAATCTTTGCTTGAGATATCGATACTCAAGAATCACTAATAAAGAAAAAGAGATAAAATTGTCAATGAGTAGACTTTTTGCCACATATAGTGATGAAATTGGAACATTGAGTGAAAAAGTTGAAACAAGAACAACGAATGTAGCATTCTGACGAAAAAAAATTTGTTTTGGGTTCAATGAATTTTTGTTTACATAGACGCATAAGATTTTCAAAACATAGCTAAGATTATGAGTGCGCAACTGCTCAGTTCAGATGAACTCGCTATTAGGTCGATTCCTTGACAATGTTGTGGTCTTAGAATCTAAAAAACTGCCACTCAAATTCTAATTCACACTCTTACAATAATTATTTTGAAAAATGTAATGTCGATCCCAACTGATTGTCTCAGAGCAGGCTGCAGGTAGAAAGGTTTTTTTTTGACGATTGTTCTAATCCACGGCCAATTTCGCTCCAAGGGATTGCTGATATATCTGTCAAATATGTTGAATCAAGTATAAAAAACCAAAAAACATGAATATTCGGGAAAAAATGGTTTTTATGATGCAATAGCAATCTCCGACTATAGTTTCAAGCTGTGTTTGGTCTTCGCACTTTGGGGAAAATTCATCAAAACAAAAGGACAAATTCAACAAATTCAAATTGTCCAACGGTCTTTACTAGAACCCGAGAAGTACAATGGAAGTGGACGATGTTAATGAATAATAATTTTTTGCTTTTTGCGAAATCTGAAACACAAGAAAATTCGAGAAAAAGAAGAATGGAATGATTCAATTTCGAAAAGGTTATGACTTGTTCGCTTGGCACTGATCCTGTACCTGATTCAGCCATTCGGGGCTGACCTGAAAAGCTATTTTTGTTAGTCACACCTAAATCTGCGATCAGAATCGCCTTTGAGCTGGAACTGTGCCAGCGCCGTGCCAGAGACGTGCTGGACCACGAGCACGATTTCCATATCGACCGATCGTCGGCACAGCTAGCACAGCGGTGACATGACACTGGCACGGACAAGGTAGAAGCAAGTAAATCCAAATCAATCGTTAATGGTTAAAAAGTTGAGATATTTCATCAGCTATGGTTGATAATTACCCAAATATGGTTATCCGTTTTGAAATCCTGAACTCTGCCATCAAAATATAGGAGTACCTTTTACTCTCAGAAAAGTGAGACACCCAGGCTGAGCCTCGTCAAATTCTCTGCAGATAAAGCGTCCTTTCATGAGTGCTGCCTATATAACGGGGGTCCGCTAGTCAAAACAAAATCAGCTGTTTACATCGCTGTCCCGGCTGATTTCGCTTATGCTCAGCTACAAATGGCTGCTGGTAGATTCACTTTCGAATGACGGACATCGTTGATTGGTTTGTCGATCTCTTATTCGGCATTGCAGATCCAGATTTCGAACCACCAAAGAGAAAGTAAGTCGTTTCCCCTTTTGCGCCAGTTTCAGAAATTCTTAAAATAAGATAAAAGGACTTTAAGCTAGCAAGAGAGAGACTGCTAACTATCGATTCTCGATGCTATGCGCCAGCTTCTCTATTTCTGAAAGTCTATTTCGCTGAGTCAGAGTACTCTCATCTTTCACCTCATATCATGCGTATTTTTGTTGAACCTAAAGAAATTTGATAACTTGAGAAAGTACTTGTTGTTCGCCGCAGGCATTCCGGCTCCGTCAGCTTCGTCCTCAACGCGGACATCTATCGAATTGCTCTCGGCACAGTTTGTCCCTAGCCGCAGTCTATTCTTTCAAAATGCTCAACGTCGCTTGGAATTGCGTTCCTTTTCTCCTTTGACTCTAGAAAATTCCCATGTTGAGCTCTAATCAAGCGAAAGAGTGAAAAAAATAGAATTAATAGAATTCTAATGCCAGAAGGCTTTATCGATTCAAGCATTTGGCTCTAGGCTCTAGCTCAAAAGCCCAGTTCACGTGTACTTATCGGCCTTAGTTTTCCTCCTTCAGACTTATTTCGCCCTTGGCTCTTTCGCAATGGAGCGCTTGCTTATATAAGTTCGAACTCCAGGCATACGTCAAGCAGTTTCTAAATCGTATTACTCATTGCATCATTCGTTTTCCCGTCTCTTGGCAAAAGTTCACTTCTACGCAAGAATTGCTGGCAATTTTGAACGTGGTTTTTTTACAAGTATTTTAGAATTCTTTTTGCATGTTTCAACCATTTCCTTGTGACTTTAAGCCTGCTAATTGATTGCAATCAAAAGACTAGTTATATTTCCTCACAGCCCAGATTATAATAATAGACCTTGCCAATCATCTCCTCATCGTCTTGCTCTTTGATCGAAAGTTCAGCCCTGCTAACAAGCCCGATTCAGTAAGGATGATCGAAGATTTTCATCTTGTTATACGTTAATTATCCATTTCATTTTCATGTATCATTAACCAGAAATTAGCTGCATAAAAGTGATGGGCCCTTTTGCCCATTAAAACCAATATTCCGTTCTCATGGCATCTGTCTGTTTGCATCATGCTCACTTACATAAAAATTTATGCAGCAGAAGAAGAATCATTAGATAGTCAGTACGTACTTTTGCACCATGTAGCAATGGCTATTGCATAATGACATGGTAATTTCTTGCTTGAAGGAATAATTCGCGTTTATTTTGTGGAAGAACACGAATACTGATCTTTGGAACTCGTTGTCCCAACAAACACTGCAAAAGTTCTGCTTTTCCGTCAATCTTATTGTAGAGAAAATATTGATATCTAAAGGACATCTCACTGAACACTGAGTGAGAAAATGTTTTGAACTTGAAATATTTTGCATTTGACTGAAAATAATGGCATAACTCATAGCATTTCTGACGGCCACTGCATGACAGATTAAGGACACCATTGTCAATCCAAATTTAGGGTATGGCACTTGTACTAGTGACAGTCTCAGCGTAGTGAAAACTAGATATGGAAACTAACTTTAAACTTTTATATCTGAGGTCTGGCTCTTGAAATACGTGCTTCTTCTGTTGTTAAGCAAGCCCTTTGGAGAAATCTACTAGAGTTAAGAAATCTATCAGAGTTCTTGCTAAGTATTGGAAGAGACTAGCTAACTGTAATGAACCTTGCCCTTTTCTGTCACATCTTCCCTTATCATTATCTTTGTTGTTTGTCCATTATGTTTAACAAAAGCTGATGTTTCATTTTTGCATGTGGATCTTGCAGGATGGCCTCCTACTCGCAATATCTCACCAAAGAGAAGGAAGATGAACTTCGAGGCATTGCCAATGCTATCGTAACCCCTGGAAAAGGACTACTTGGTCAGTTTTTTTCTGTTAAGAATTTGCTTACATCTAACTGTGTCTTTACAGCTGCTGATGAGTCAACTGGAAGTATGGAGAAACGTTTGAAAAGCATTGGCGTGGAAAATACAGAAGAAAATCGAAGAAAGTATAGACAGGTAGAGAAAATTTGTATCTTTCTTAGATTAATAGAGTAAATAAAGTGTTCAGCTTCTATTTACTGGCAATCCTGATCTCGGAAAACATATTTCTGGAGTTATCATGTTCCATGAAACATTCTACCAGAAAGCTGACGACGGCACTCGATTTGTTGACGTACTTAAAAAGCAGGGTATTATACCTGGAATTAAGGTGGGATTTAAATTCTTACCCTGGGAGGCTTTGCTAGGAATATTTCAATGAGCACTTCAGGTGGACAAAGGCGTTGTTCCAATGGCTGGAACTGTCGGAGAAGGCACTACACAAGGACTGGATGATCTGAATGCCAGATGCGCTCAGTACAAGAAAGTGGGTTTTTTCAGCTTTTCAGAAAAGAAAAGATATGGACGATTTATTGCGCGAAGAGACAGGGCGCCCTCGCCTACGCTGCCGGAGTCACAACGATCAAACATACTATTCTTCCTCTAACCGTCTGCCGTCTCTTCCAAACAGGAACTCTCTGAGCCAGCCGCAGCGGCTCCTAGTCTTTGCGTTCGACGAGTTGTCTATATGAACTAATTGTACTGCCAATTCACGCATTTTCAGGATGGCGCCCAGTTTGCAAAATGGCGCTGCGTCCACAAAATCTCCACCACCACACCATCACACATGGCTCTTGTAGAAATCGCTGAAGTAAGACTCCATGTTCCATCTGTTCTCCCATCACCCCTCCCTTCTCCCTCCTTGTCTTTATGAGCTTTTTCTAGGTTCTTGCTCGCTACGCATCTATTTGCCAACAAAACGGGCTTGTTCCCATCGTAGAACCTGAAATCCTACCCGACGGCGAACACGACATTCATAGATGCCAAAAGATCACCGAAACCGTTCTATCGTACTGCTACAGGGCTCTGAATGACCATCATGTCTACTTGGAAGGAACACTTCTGAAGCCAAACATGGTTACGGCAGGGCAAGGATTCAAAGGGAAGAAACCAACACCCGAAGAAGTTGGAAAGGCCACGGTTACGGCTCTACAGCGGTCGGTACCTGCGGCAGTACCCGGGGTTGTCTTCCTTTCTGGTGGACAATCTGAAGAAGAGGCCACTCTGAACTTGAATGCTATGAACAAAGTAAGTTTGTCTTCATACTGCTGTAGAAAAGTCATAGTTTTTTCAGGTGGAGGGCAAGAGACCATGGGCTCTCACATTTTCTTACGGACGAGCGCTACAAGCTTCTACCTTGGCTAAATGGGCCGGAAAAGATGAAAATATCAAGGCCGCACAGGTAAGCATAACAGTGTAATAATTGTAGTCAATTCATCACACGCAGAGACTGGACGCCGTTGCGTCCGACTGAGATAGTATATGTTGGGAGAGACAGCAAACGGCTAGAGAAATAGAAGTATTCGATCTAAGAAACGCAGACGGCTTTCGCTGCGATCTGCTCCTGCGTGCGATGAATCGCATGCATGTAATACAGTGCATATTTCGAATTAATACAATCCATAATTTTAGGCTGTTCTACTACAACGAGCACAGGCAAATTCGTTGGCATCGGTTGGAAAATACACCGGAAATCCAAATGCGGACGCGGCTGCTTCAAAATCGCTATTCATCGCAAATCACGCCTACTAATCTCAGTGATATATATTAAGGGATTAGAATGTGTTATTGATGTTTGATGTATCAGCGTGCATAGTCTCTAGCGATGTAATGAAGATGGGTAGTGAGCTGGGTTTGAAAAAAGAAAACAGTTGCGAAATAATTTGCAAAAACAGCCGAAGCAGATACAAAACATCCAAAAAAGGCAGTAAACTCGACATCATCGAAAAATAAGGCCGCTACGTTTCTCAAAAAAAATTTCTTGATTGAAGGAGTGTCCGACAAGATGGGATTTTGGGGATTACAGTGTCATGAAAGTGGGCTTCTCTAAGACACATCATTGCGCAAGTGCGAGGCGATAAAGTTTGACTAGAAGCAAGCAAAACTGTCGAAACTCGTAAATTACGTCCTGTGGCGGCCTCCACCTCCGTTCATTTCCTTTTGTGACAGAGTACGCATGTCGCCACAGTTAAAGGAAGCGTCCAGGCAGGTCTGGACCTATGGGGCTTTTGCGTGGAAGGTACTTTTGGGGCCCTAACTGAGGCATTGCCCAAGCGGCAGCTCAGGCAGGGGAACGAAAGCCGCCATTTAGCCTCCAATAAATCTACGGCCAAATTACCGTTTTGAATTTCATAAGCGAAAGAAATCGTATGTACAAGGTTTATCGACTCGACGTACAAAATAATACATGGTCTGCATTATACATAAGCGGAGACCAAATAACGAGTAATACACATAACCTAGAATCAAATACACTACAAGAAAGAATTGCGTGATCGAAACATGGAATACTGTGGTCATTTTAGTAAGAACGAAGTCAAATGTATAATGCGGAACTAATTTAAGACAAGATATAATAGCTAGACCAGCTTAGATTACGATGATCACGCGGAATAAGGCATCTTATGATGAATAGAGTCGGCAAAACGTTTATTGTGAATTACTTCATGAACAGCAAGCGTGCCGGGAACATGAAAACAAAACGTAAATAGTAATAGATCTTCAGACGGGTAAAGGGCCAATGTAGGCCTTAAAAGAGGTGAATGATTTCCATCGACCTGCGAGCATGACTGATTGAGCGTCTGGTCCCTTCTTGAGCGCGTTGGTGGCCGCGCCTCCGCGGAATGAGTGCGAAGTAAGCTTCTTTGATCCGAGTCCGGTTTCTCCCAAAGTTTTCTGGATTTGGCGTGCAGCAAAGTCCCTCGTAATAGCGGATCCGCTTCTGCTGCTGAAAATAAAGCTGGAAGGAGAGGACGGCGGAAAGGCATCGCAGTAGTGATCCATAGGTCCTTGGCAACGCTGTCCCAATAAAAAGCAACCGTCGTGCCTTCTCGTTTTTGATCCGTCTTTGATTTTTGAATAAGCAACCACCAGATGGAGGATCCCTGGTATGATAGATCGGAGAAGCGCAGATTACAAACCTCGCTGAGTCGTAGGAAAGCGGAGAAGGGGAACAGTATCATCATAGCACCTCTCAGAGCGGAATTGGTTTGAGCTTTCAATGCCCACGTGATGACGTGATTGACGTCTTCTTCTGATGCCTTTTTCCTGTGTCTGACAGGGGGGCCCTTTCTGGTTGCCATGCTTAGCAGTGCTTTCTGTACTTCTAAATCGTCGCCAGTGAGAGGCCCAAAGAAATGGTTTAAGGCGGAAATGTGATATCCAAGAGATCTGGATTTGCCCGTTTCTATCAAATGAGCGATGAATACGTTGCGAAGTTGAGGTAGTGTTGTGAGCGGTACATTGAACTTCCCGATGAAGGTGATGAAATTCTTCTTAACCCTTTTATATATGGTGAGGGTGCCCTAGAAACCGATTGGTCAATGCAAGAGTCGATTATGGACGCAACTGCCTTTAGACCGCTTTGTGAGGCCAGGGTTGCCGTACTCACGGCTTTTCTTCTTTTGCGATCAAGGAGATCTGAAAAAGGAGAAAGGGAGGTTCTTACTTTTAGATTTTGGAGTAAAACTGTTCCGAAGAATAAAAAGGATTGTGTCCTTCTTCCTTTCTTTTGCACTCCAATACCTCGGGCGGGTGGGAGGGACAGCACGAGTCGAAAAACCGGAATGACCGCTTATCCCGCTAGAGTTCCAGATATCTCAAACCCCGCCCCTTATGGTCCAAAGTACATGCGTTGACCTCAACGAAGCGATCTGCTCGCATAACACCTCAAGCGAGGCATACACATAACCTACGGTTATGACGCCCGAAACCATGCCTCGTTTAATGTGTTATGCCTCGCATAACGATTAACGCACCCAAAACCAACTCCTGTACTTTGGACCACAAACAGCGTACTAACCAAAAAGCAAGGCATATGAAATTCAAAACATCAAGTTTGAGCCGCCTTTCGCGGCCAACTGCTCCTTTCATAGTGTTGTTGCATGTCGTTCCAGGACCAGCAATCCGCGAAGGCAGCCCAAACTGGCGGCTTTCGTTTCCCTACCCTCAGTGCTGTAATGGCTGAGATATTCCCCTCGAAACTAGAACCCGAGACCGTGTTTCGCATGGATTCATGGCGCAAAGCGTGGATTCTGGCGCGAAACTGCCATGATTCCATCCGAATACGTTCGCGGGGGCCAGTTTCGAGGGGAATATCTCAGCCATTAGAGCACTACCTGAGGTGCCGCTTGGGCAGTGCCTTAGTTAGGGCCCCAAATGTACTTTCCATGTAAAAGCCCCATAGGTTCAGATCTGCCTGGACGCTGCCTTTAAAGTCGTAAGTCCCGCAGCGACTCTGCGTCTCAGCCTTGCAAGGGTCTCTGCTTCCCACCACTCAAAACCATACTCGATTTTACAATAACAGTGGTATAGTCGTACTCCCCCCCACTAGACACCTAGTGGACGGATTCAAATTTGAATTAGAGCACGGCGGCTGTGGCAGAGAGCGGCGCCGTCAATTGCATTTTAGGCTAATGTAGTTTTTTTGTGTTTTACTGTCGTTGCATGGCGATGTTTTATGTTTTAGTGTCGACTGTAATCAGAATTGCAGTATTTTGTTGCTCAGTGATGTTTCGTACTACTATGCTTGTTTCTTTGCTCTGTTTTCGGGAAAGGTTGGAAAAAGATGCACTTGGAGAATTTTTGACACGAAGTGTTCAATGAAGCAACACCTCAAAACTTACCGAGAAAAATTTCACCAGTTTGCGAACTTAGTCGTTTTTTCAAGCTGAACTTGTTATCGTAGTCAAAGAAAGGAGCATACAGCAGATCCAGGTTGCGTCGCGAAAACACAAAAATTTGTTTGAGACTGAAGTGAGAGTTGCAAGTGCCGCGCTCTGCTGCGACCGGCGTGCTCTAGTTCAAACTCAAATGGTGTCTGGTGGGGGGAGGTCGACTATAAACCGACAACAGTCAACCAATCACTGTAGTTCCGCCAGAAAAGCAAGAGCGCAAACGCGCAGGTGTCTCCCGAAAAACTTGTTAATTGTGATATTTTGAACAACTCTTTCGTAATCGACGCACTGTCGATTGGCTCGGAGCCAGTAGGCTTGTCATAACACCTCCGAGCACAACAAAGATGATGGATCATCCAGGCGTTTTGACGCATATGGAGCGGTCGTCTCGATTAAATCTACTGTACTGCCAAAACACGGGCAACGTCGACAGGGCACTTCAGGAAATGAAATGGAAGGAAATGTACAAAAGGATCAAGACAATGTACGACCAACGTAGGAAGCAGCGTGTGAGGAACCAGCAGTGAGTGTTAACCTTTGTTGCGTAGTTCTTGTTAGCTCTCGAGCTTGAACGTTCGCCCAGGTTCCTAGAGGGTCACTCGCTTTCTCGACAATGCCATTACTGCTCATCATAAAGCGAATGAGTTAATAATGACGAAGTTTACGCAAAGCGACAGCGGCTCTCTCCTATTTGTATTTAGCTTATTGTTGTTGTTTACGGACTTCCACAGCCTTTTGATAATTGGTCTCCGAAGTGCAACTAACAGAGACCTTGTAAGAGACCTCGTAGCATCCCACAAACCTACTGTATCATAAAACTGATGATCCCCTTCAACTCAAAAAGCAATATCTGCTGACATGATAATGAATCGCGGTCAAACTTGGTTGCATCACCAAAGGTTCTGCTGACTCACCTTAACCAATGTTTAGCTGATCTTCCAGTTCACTACAACCACTATTCAGCCGATGCTCAAGCTCTCTGGTAGCATTGCTTCACAGTCGATGCGCAAGATTAACTTGCCTACAGTTCAGAATGTTGTTCGTGTTAAGATGTTTGTCGCATTGGCCTCTTGGACTTCGTTGCCGATACGATAACGAGGGTGGAGAGAATCACGTCTACAAGAAGACGAAATCATCTTCAGCATGACCAAAACGATTTTGGCTTCCACTCCGGAGCTCAGTGCCTAGCCGTGCTTACATCTATCGCTGAAGTAATCAAATCTTATACTGGCTTCTCACCAATCCACTTGCTCATTAGGCTTGAAAGGATAGATCCCACCATTGGAATAGCATCACGATAGGGCTCTCAAAGCCACGATCGGTATCCTAGAGTTGCTATAGACGGAATTCTTGTAAAATGCCCACATCTGCACACGTCTATCGTTCAACATAATTATCATACAATCTCGAAGTGCTTTGAGCCATGATGTGAGTATTATTAGCTGTTTTGTCGAGTGCTCAGATGTTATGATCTGCACTCGTCTATTGTAAGAAAATATCATGATAACAAAGAGGCTCCCTAGCCCACCATCGACTACTGCTGTATACTGTGGCTTCTATGAGTTGTCCCGAGGACCCAAATGTCTCGTCTTTACACTATGATTGGAAGAAAATCACAACGAAGCGGCTCTTGTGCCCATAACCGGTCACTACCTACCGCTTACCGTGAGTGTTCTGTGAGCTAAATATGAGGGCTCAAATGTCTCATGTTTACAAGAATAGAATATGATCACAACGAAGTGGCTCCTCAGGCCACCATCGGTCACTGCTTCATACTGTGGTTTCTGTGAGTTGTCTCGAAGACTCAAATGTCTCGTCTTTACACTATGATGGGAATAGGATTATAACGAAGTGGCTCTCGAGCCCATAACCGGTCACTACCGCTTACCGTGAGTTTTGTGTGGCCGAGGGCCCAAATGTCTCGTGTTCGCACTACTACTCAGACAATCGC